CCCCCAAAACCCCAAAACCCCATTAGGCTTAAATTTTCACACTTAAGAGATTAATAATAAATATATAATTTAGATTTGATGAACTCATATAAGACTTAGAATAACATGTCTGAGAGGTTCTCATTGAATAGTAACTAAAATGACTAGCAAGACCCTCATGCTAGGAGTTTCATTTAAATATCACCTGGGGCTGTAACGACGAACTCAATTGCAAGCAGCAATCAATTTAAGAATGACTTGTACTTATGACATTGACTAAAAGGATAGTAGCATTAAAAGTCATAAACATTGACATCACAATCATCATTGTAATTCTCTTCAAAGCCTGGACAAACTCAGACTCCAAAAATTAGTTACAAAGACTAAGTCAAGATAAGAAATAAGTAATTTTGTTTTATAACACTTTAGTTAGATAACTTCTAGTATATTTTTTAAGTTATATCACTAATTTCGTTGGCTTGCTTGGCTTACAGATTGAATTCGTCACTGCTACTTTTTACCAAGACAAAGAAGACAACAAAGATCCAAAAGCTCTCAAGATTAGTTATGCTGATGTTTAAGTAACACTCTTTCATTATATTCTTTGTTATAAATAGGTTATCTTAATGTCATGTGCTGTAATGTACTTTTTAATGGGATGTATTTTGGAGTACATTAAGAGGTCAGATTTGCTGATTGCCCTTGTCATATCTATCCAAGCGATCACAAAAATAGCTGTAATTTGAAAGCAAATATATTTTATAGGGAGCTGTAGAGTTCATGTTTGATGACGTAGACAATCGATATCACAATCTTATCCAATAGCTAACTCACATTGTTTTAGCTACAAGATTTGCCTTGCTAACAATATTTCTAATAGGATTAGCCAAATGGTTTGAAAAGAAATATTTATACGTTATTATAGTAAGCAATAAATACAAATAAATAAGCAATTTAGGGAAGCTGGCTTACTAATGAATATCTGTCTATTAAATGTGGGTAACTGCTAATATTACACAAAGGTGAATTGATGGTAGTGTCAGGACTAGCATTAATTATCCTGGCACTTATGTTCCTAAGATATTATAGTTTAGACCCGATCGATTAAGGCATTATCATTGGTGAATAAGCAATATTTCTAACTTCTTAGCACACTAACCAAGTGTAAAACATCATATCAGTAGAGTAGTTCATGCATGAATCGAAATAAGTCAATCAATCTGAAATTAGAAATAGCCAAAACCTTGTAACTAATAGTCTTAATCAAAAAGTAAATGATATGGAACTTATGGAGAGGAGAATTCTGAAGAGATGGAAAATACCAAGTTTAGTCAAAATTCTCTAGATTGAGGGTGTAATGCAGCTGTTGATAATTACTTGCATTATATTCTTCAAGTATCGAATTATCAACAAAATAGTTGTGATGTACTAATATCAATATAATTTAGGGGTAAATTTTGTTTTATAACTAGTTATTTCAGGGGTGCTTCCTCTTTGGGTCTCATTTCCTCCAAATTTTGATAGGCTATGTTAACAGCAGATTTTTAAAAGGAAGAGGGTAATATATTTGTCTCAATTATATGTATAGGTTTATTGTGTAATTTTCAATGATGGTCCTTTCATTAATATTTGAAATTATTTAAACAGCAACTGGAGAAGATAGTCTTGATGATAATTATGACTTGGTAATATTTAGTTTCTAAGGACTTATCCTCTACACCTAGTACTATATGATTTGTATTCTCGGCCCTTTCAATATAGCCAAAAGTGAGATGCTTTGATGCAATATAAAGATGATTGGAATGATATACTGCACTTTAAGTGGTATATAATGCACACTTTAGTCCTTGATATTTGAGCAGTTTATATATTACTTTGTAGATAGCTAGATTTTATCTCACAAGGCATAATTCTACACTTTGAAAGGCATTGAAATGTTTTTGTCAATCATCTGTATTATTGCCATGTATAGACTGTTTAAGAATGAGTTCATTGAACTCAGAAGTCTTCTACAGACTAATAATGAAGAGAATAAAAATTAAAAGATGCTTTTGTCTAACGAGATATTAGAAACATCAAGTGCTTCAGATGACTAAGAGTCAGTTAAGTTTTTATGATAAAAATGATCATTATATATTCGAATACTAATTTGAAAGTGTGATTTTTTCTACATATTTTTAAAAGATCTTAATTTAAATAATACGGGGTTTTGGGGTTTTGGGGTTTTGGGG